CCCCCCCCTCCCCCCTCCGGAAGGTTCCGATGTTTGATGCTATTGGGGCTCATTGCGATGTTTTCATGTTGAGGTGCGGTGAACTGGCTGCGCACCGTCTGCGTTATTGTGCGTTGTGATTGTCTGCATTGGGGTGACACTGAAAATTAATGGCGCTGGGAACCCGCCCATGTGCGCAGCGCTCAGGGGCGAAAAAAGTGCGTTTCGGCCCGGGAAGAGATCATCCGGAATGTGGCCCGCGTATTGAAGTATACGGTATATACCGGGTGCTGGTCCGACACTCTCACCGGCGGCCATGTTTGGCTCAGAGACGGTGGTGACCTTGGGGATGCGGCTGATTTATGTCTCCTCAGCTAGTTTCCCTCCTGCTGTCTGAGCATCACATCTGCGCCATAAACTTCCCTCCGCGCCCAGATGTGAGGGAGCCATTAAACCTTCGCCGCGCTCTCAGAGCACCTTCACGTGTGACGCCGGTATACGGAGAGTGGGTGCAATGATCTGCAGAGAGGAGTCTGTGCAGTAAGAGGCAAAGTGGGAGCAATGCTCTGCATAGGGGACATGGTATTATAATACACAGAGCGGGAGCAATGCTCTGCATAGGGGACATGGTATTATAATATACATAGCAGAAGCAATGCTCTGCATAGTGGACATGGTATTATAATATACAGAGCGGGAGCAATGCTCTGCATAGGGGGACATGATACTGTAATACAGAGGGGGAGCAATGCTCTGCATAGGGGACATGGTATTATAATATACAGAGTGGGAGCAATGCTCTGCATAGGGGACATGGTATTATAATACACATAGCGGGAGCAATGCTCTGCATAGGGGACATGGTATTATAATATACAATGCTCTGTAGATTGGGTGCGATGCTCTGCAGAGATGAGGGGAGCGGAGGATCGGTCTCTGCCTATTCCCTGTGTGACAAATGTGCTGACAGCGCCGGGGAAACGAGCTAATAAGAGAGTTTATGGGACGGAGGAGAACCATCTGCCGGGGAAACGTCTGAAGAACGCTGACAACACATTTCATGTACATTACAGTCCTGGGAATACCATGCCGGCAACA